TATATCTTCTTTGGAAAAATGTTTGTTCATATCCTCTGTCCATTTTTTGATTGGGTTGTTTGGGGTTTTTCTGAGTTGTGTGAGTTCTTTGTATATTTTGGAGATCAGCTTCTTGTCGGATATATGATTTGCAAATATTTTCTCCCAGTTGGTGGGTTGTCTTTTTGTTTTGTTCCTGGTTTCCTTTGCCTTGCAGAAGCTCTTAGTCTGATGAAGTCCCATTTGTTTCTTTTTTCTTTTATTTCCCTTGCCCAAGTAGACATGGTATTTGAAAAGATCGTTCTAAGACCAATGTCACAGGGTGTACTTCCTATATTTTCTTCCAGGATTTTTATGGTTTTACATCTTACCTTCAAGTCTTTAATCCATTTTGAGTTAATTTTCGTGTATGGCAAAGGATGATAGTCTACTTTCATTCTTTTGCATGTGGCTGTCCGTTTTCCCAACGCCATTTATTGAAAAGGCTTTCCTTTCTTCATAGGATGTTCTTAGCTCCTTTGTTGAAGATTAGCTGTCCATAGATGTGTGGTTTTATTTCTGGGCTTTCAATTCTGTTCCATTGATCTGTGCACCTGTTTTTGTACCAGTACCATGCTGTGTTGATTACTGTAGTTTTGTAGTATGTTCTGAAGTCAGGGATTTTGATGCCTCCTGTGTTGTTCTTTTTTCTGAGGATTACTTTAGCAATTCGGGGTCTTTTGTTGCCCCATATGAATTTTAGGATTCTTTGTTCTAATTCTGTAAAGAATGTCATTGGGATTCTGATTGGGATAGCGTTGAATCTGTAGATTGCTTTAGGTAGAACAGACATTTTAACTATGTTTCTTCTTCCAATCCATGTACATGGAATGTCTTTCCATCTCCTTATGTCGTCATCCAATTCTCTCAGAAAGGCCTTGTAATTTTAATTGTATAGGTCTTTCACTTCCTTAGTTAAATTCACCCCAAGATATTTTATTCTTTTTGTTGCGATTGTGAATGGTATTGTGTTCTTGAGTTCTTTTTCTGTTAGCTCGTTATTAGAATATAGAAATGCTACTGATTTATGCAAATTGATTTTATACCCTGCAACTTTGCTGTAGTTGTTGATTACTTCTAAGAGTTTTCCAATGGATTCTTTGGGGTTTTCTATATATAAGATCATGTCGTCTGCAAACAGCAAGAGTTTCACTTCTTCCCTCCCTATTTGGATTCCTTTTATTCCTTTTTCTTGCCTGATTGCTCTTGCCAGGACCTCCAGTACTATGTTAAATAAGACTGGTGATAGAGGGCATCCTTGTCTCATTCTTGTTTTCAGGGGGATGGTGCTCCGTTTTAGCCCATTGAGTATGATGTGGGCTGTGGGTTTGTCATATATGGCCTTTATTATGTTGAGGTAGTTCCCTTCTATGCCCATTTTGTTCAGAGTTTTTATCATAAACGGCTGCTGGATCTTGTCAAATGCTTTCTCTGCATCTATTGAGATGATCATGTGGTTTTTAGTCCTCAGTTTGTTGATGTGGTGTATCACGTTGATTGATTTGTGGATGTTGAACCATCCCTGTGTCCCTGGTATGAATCCCACTTAATCATGATGTATGATCCTTTTGATGAATTGCTGAATTCTGGTGGCCAAAATTTTGTTTAGAATTTTTGCATCTATGTTCATCAGCGTTATTGGCCTGGAGTTCTCTTTTTTCATGGAGTCCTTGTCAGGCTTTGGTATCAGCGTGATGTTGGCCTCATAGAATGTGTTAGGAAGTGTTCCATCCTCCCTAATGTTTTGGAATAGCTTGAAAAGGATAGGTATTAAGTCCTCTCTGAAAGTTTGGTAGAATTCCCCAGGAAAGCCATCAGGACCTGGGGTTTTATTCTTTGGGATATTTTTGATTGCTGTTTCAATCTGTTTCCTTGTGATTGGTCTGTTCAAATTGTCTGCTTCTTCTTGAGTGAGCTTTGGGAGATTGTAGGAGTCCAATAATTTATCCATTTCCTCTGGGTTATCCATTTTGTTGGCATATAATTTTTCGTAGTAGTCTGTTATAATCCGTTGTACTTCTGCAGAGTCTGTTGTTATTTCTCCTCTTTCATTTCTGATTTTGTTTATTTGAGCTTTTTCCCATTTTTTCTTTGTAAGTCTGGCTAGGGGTTTGTCAATTTTATTTATCTTCTCAAAGAACCAGCTCTTTGTTTCATTGATCCTTTCTGCCGCCTTTTTTGTTTCAATAGCATTTATTTCTGCTCTGATTTTTGTTATTTCTCTCCTGCTGACTTTGGGTTTTGTTTGTTCTTCTTTCTCTAATTCAGTTAGGTGTAGTTTAAGATTGCTTATTTGGGATTTTTCTTGTTTGTTAAGATGTGTCTGTATTGTGATGAATTTTCCTCTTAATACAGCTTTTGCTGTATCCCATATGAGTTGGTATGGCATGTTATTTTCATTTGTCTGCAGGTATTTTTTTATTTCTTCTTTAATTTCTTCAATGATCCATTGCTAGTTCAGTAGTGTGTTGTTTAGTCTCCACATCTTTGTGCCTTTCTCAGCTTTTTTCTTGTAATTAATTTCTAGCCTTATAGCATTATGATAGAAGAAAATGCTTGTTATTATTTCAATTTTTTAAAATTTGTAGAGGCTTGCCTTGTTTCCCAACATATGGTCTATCCTTGAGAATGTGCTGTGCACACTTGAGAAGAATGTGTATTCTGCTGTTTTTGGATGAAGTGTTCTGTATATATCTATTAAGTCCAATTGTTTTAGTTTTTTGTTTAGCTCCACTATTTCCCTGTTGATTTTCTGTCTAGATGATCTGTCCATTGATGTGAGTGGGGTGTTGAGGTCCCCTACTATTATTGTGTTGCTTTTAACATCTTCCTTTAGGTCTGTTAATAGTTGCTTTATGAACTTTGGTGCTCCTATGTTGGGTGCATAGATATTTATAAGCGTTATTTCTTCTTGATGAAATGTCCCTTTGATCATTATACATTGGCCCTCTGTGTCTCTCTTTACCTGCCTTATTTTGAAATCGTTTTGTCTGATATAAGTATTGCAACACCTGCTTTCCTTTGCTTGCTATTAGCTTGAAGTATTGTCTTCCATCCCTTCACTCTGAGACTGTGTTTGTCCTTGGGGCTGAGATGTGTTTCCTGGAGGCAACAAATTGTTGGATCTTGTTCTTTAATCCATTTAGCCACTCTGTGTCTTTTTATTGGAGAGTTCAATCCATTTACATTGAGGGTGATTATTGATGTATGTGGGCTTAATGCTGTCATTCTGTCGCTCGTTATCTGGTTTTCCTATGTTACCTTTGTTTCTCGTCCTGTGTGTTTTAGCCTACCCATTGACTTCTGCAATTTCTTATGCTAGGTTTCTTAGATTTCTCCTTATTTATGTTTTGTGGCTCTGTTCTGTTTTTTAGTTTAGTGGCTACCCTGAAGTTTGTATTTAGAATCTCGTGTATAATATAGTCTATTCTCTGGTGGTCTCTTACTTACTTGGCCTAGACTGATTTAGTCCCTTTGCTCTTCCCCTCCTAAATTATTATTTTCATCTCTTATTCCAACTCGTGTTATGAGTTTCTAGTTAGAGTGATAAAATGGTCTTTGATTTGGTGGTTTCCTTACCTTTATCCTAATGCTATAGTTGAATATTTGCTATCCTATTCTTGTTCTATCTATCTGTCTCCCTACTCTGTGGTTTGTGACCCCTTTCTCCCTTTTTTTCTTTTTTCAGGTATGAGGGCCTTCTTAAGGATTTCTTGTAGTAGAGGACTTTTTGTTACAAATTCCCTTAACTTTTGTTTGTCTGGAAAAGATTTAATTTCTCCTTCATATTTGAAGGATAATTTTGCTGGATAGAGTATTCTTAGCTGAAGATTTTTATCTTTTAAAGTTTTGAATATGTCACTCCATTCTCTCCTAGCTTATAGGGCTTCTGCAGAGAAATCCGCTGAAAGTCTGATAGGAGTTCCTTTGTAGGTTATTTTCTTCTGTCTTGCTGCCCTGAGTATTCTTTTTTTGTCTTTCATTTTTGCCATTTTTACTACTATATGCCTTGCAGTAGGTCTTTTTACATGGAAAAATCTAGGAGATCTGAAAGCTTCCTCCACACACATTTCTCCCTCAATCCCTAGATTTGGGAAGTTCTCTTCTATAATTTCATTGAGCACACTTTCTGCTCCATTTTCCTTTTCCACGCCCTCCGGTATTCCGATAATTCTTAAATTCGATCTCCTCATTGAATCTGCTATTTCTCTGATATTTTCCTCATTCTTTTTAATCCTTAGTTCTCTTTTTTCCTCTGTCTGGAGCCATTCAGCCTGTCTATCTTCGTTTATACTAATTTCCTCCTCTATGGTGTCTACCCGGGCATTCAGGGAATCTGTATTTTGTTTTATCTGGTCCATTGTATTTTTCATCTCTAGTATTTCTGTGTGATTCTTCTTTATAGTTTCAATCTCTCTTGTGAAGTAACTCCAGAACTCGTTGACTTGTTTCTCTACCTTTCCCTCTACCTCATTGAGTTTTTTGATGATAGCTACTCTGAACTCATTTTCACTTAGTTTACCTATTTCCAAGTCCTCAGGACTTAATTCTGTGTTTTTATTGTTTTCTTTCTGGTCTGGAGCTTTTATAAATTGCTGAATGGTAGAGGAGTGGTTTTTTCACATGATGGTAGTATTCGGTTGCAGTTACAGCCTGTCGCCACTAGATGGGGGTCGAGAGCCACACATTCTGAGCCCTCCACATTCAGCCAAGATGGTGGTACCTAGCGCGGGTTGGGGGAGAAGGTGCACTGTCTCTTGTGTGCCGATCTGGATTCCGATCAGCTCTCATTCTCTGGTCTCCCGAGGGCCTGGCTTGATGGGGTCCCCACACATGGAAGCTTTCTCATGTCAGCGGGTTTCCACTGCACCAGTGGAGGGAGTCCTGGACGATCCCCCGGTCGCATGGCCCCTCCCCCGCTCCTTCCCTCACTCGCAGCAGCGATCCCAGTCTCTAGGGGAGGAAGCGAAGTTCTCTCTTACCCGTTCCAGCTTCTCTGAGGCCAGCTGCAGCCTCTCTGTCCTCTGTTGTCTTGCTCTGTAGGTCTCGGACGTTCTCAGCATTAGGGGTTATTGGTTGAAATTCAGTTTTTCCGTTTCTTTGGTTGTATTTTGGAGGGGAGAGAGTCCCGGGTCAGCTCACCCCACCATTCTGCTCCGCCTCTCTCTAACAGCCGTTTATTAATCACATATGCTCCCAGCCCAGAGGAGGAGAATGCAGCACACTACACATACATTCTGTTGCACTCAGGAACACAGTGAACAAACAGGGTCTGTGAGAGGCAAGCTTTGTAGTAACAAGATAGTGAGGTGACCCCTGGTTCCCATGGAAAGCTGTGATTGGTTTGTTTGAATAATTCTCTGGGCTGGCGGGGTACCAGAACCTGATGCTCAGGGATAAGTAGGAACCGTGGCTGGTCCTCTTGATCATGAAGGTTATTTGGAAAAGAGATCTTACCTTTGGGAGCAGAGAGGGGAAAGGAACTTGTGGTTAGGTCATTCAAGGCCCCCCACATTTCACCAGATGCGAAGGCAGTACATAATATTGGGCCTTAATTTTCAGCCTTTCACCACATTTTTCCTTCCCCTCTATCTCACCAAAGGAAATCACTATCCCAAACCTGATGTATGTGATTTCCATGTATGTTTTTGTACTTTCCTTTTTATATATACATCCCTAAACAATCTGGTTTTTTTCCAATTACATCAATGATATGATACATCTATTTCCAACTTTCTTTTTCCATGTTTTTTTATGTTTTTGAAGTTTATGTTTAAATTTATTGTAAATAATTCCTTCAGATTAGCTGCTGTGTAATATTAACTATATGAATGAACCCAAGTTTATCTCTTTCACTACTTGTGTCTTTTACTACTAAAAAGTGTCTTAAAACACAGTTTGCCTCCTTGTGAACTCATGTAAATGTTTATCTGTGGTGTACAACTAGAGGTGGGTCGGGAGGGCAACAGCATTTGTTTATCTTGAGCTTTATCCATACTGCCAAATTACTTACTGTTTGTCAGGCATTAATACATATGAGTCAATCATATGAGGTAAATACTATTATCACCTCCATTTTACAGCTGAGGAAATGACACAGAGAGAGACATAACTTCGTTAAGTCACACAGCTAGTAAGTGGAAGAGCTTCAATTTAAACTGGGACATTTGGCTTCAGAGTCTGTGATCTTCAGCTATTATGCCATTCAGCCTGTAATGAATACCAACTATATTCTGATTTGGTTTTGACTGATATATCTTATTCCATCCGAATACTTTCAACTTTTGTGTGACAATACGTCTAGGTATATCTCTTATAGGTAGCATTTGACTGCAATTTTTTTTTAATTTTTAAAAATCCAATTTGAGAATCACAGTCTTTTAACTGGTAAGGTTAGCCTGTTTACGTTTACTATGATTTGATGTATTTGGAAATGGTTCTGTCATCTTTGTGATTTTTGCTTGCCCTCCTTTGTCTTTGCTTCCTTTCTCTGCTTTCCTACCTTTTATTAATTGGTTGAATTTTCTTTATTCCCTGTTTTCTCTACATTGGTTTAGAAGTCCTACATTAAGTTCTAGATTTTTTTCCTGTTCTATTATTGGTTATCCATAAATTTTTCTAACATACCTTTTTCAGTTAACATATAAATTTGCTCAACATCCCTTTTCTCCTCCAGAGAATACAAAGTAATGCTTAGGAAGTTTTAGCCCTTATCGCTCCCCCTTCCATTTACCTCTAAAATTAGTCCTTAATATGGTTTTATACAGTTGATACATGTTCAGAATCAACTATATGTTTACCAGCTTTTTTTCTTCTGGGTTCGCTTTCCTTCTCTCAGAAAGAGTTTCTTCAGTAGTTTTTATAGTGAGGAATGTGATTGACAAACTCTTTGTCTTCACCTGAATTTTTTTTTTGCTGAAGAAGGTTAGCCCTGAGCTAACATCTGTGCCAATCTTCTGCCACTTTATGTGTGGGTCACCACTACAGCATGGCTGATGAGTGGTGTATGTCTGTTCCTGGTATCCAAACCCGTGAACCTGGGCTGCTCAAGTGCACCAGACTTAGTCACTACACCACAGGGCAGACCCTGAAAATTTTTTTTGACTTTATTTCTGAACAATAGTTTACCTGGTAATAGAATTGCAAACTATAGGTTATTTTTCATTAGCACTTAATGGATTTTACTCCTATGGCTTCTAGTCTCTATTTTTATTCTTGAAAAAATCTGTTTTTAGTTTTATTCTTTTCTGGGTAATTCATTACCCCTCCCTCCAGAATTTTTTTCCCCTGGGGGAAGATTTGCCATGAGCTAACATCTATTGCCAATCTTCCTCTTTTTTTGCTTGAGGAAGATTTGCCCTGAGCTAACATCTGTGCCAGTCTTTCTCTATTTTTTGTATGTGGGTTGCCACCACAGCATGGCTGCCAATGAGGGGTGTAGGTCCATTTCCAGGAATTGAACCTGGGCCGCCAAAGTGGAGCATGCTGAACTTAACCACTAGGCCATGGGGCTGGTCCCCTCCCCCCAATTTTAAAGCTTTCTCTTTGATTCTGATCTTCTTCAGTTTCAATATGATATGCTTTGGTGTGTGTGGGTGAATTCATTTTTTTAAATATATATATATATATATTTTTTTTTTTTTTTTGAGGAAGATTAGCCCTGAGCTAACTACTGCCAATCCTCCTCTTTTGCTGAGGAAGACTGACCCTGAGCTAACATCCATGCCCATCTTCCTCTACTTTATATGTGGGACGCTTGCCACAGCATGGCTATTGCCAAGTGGTGCCATGTCGGCATCTGGGATCCGAACTGGCGAACCCTGGGCCCCCAAGAAGCAGAACATGTGAACTTAACCGCTGCACCACCAGGCCGGCCACGATGTCTTATGTGGGGTTTATGTTGCTCTTTGAATTTAGGATTCATATTTTTAATTCTAGAGCATTCCTAAACATTATCACTTTGGTTATTGACTTTCTACCATTGTCTTTTATCTTTCCTGGAACTCTTATTAGACATTTGTTAAAACTTCTTCTGTGCTCTATGTCTTTTAACTTCAATTTCATATTTTTCAAATGTTTCTATCTCTCTGTGCTGCATCCTTCTAAATTCCCTTAGAGTTATCTTCCAGTTCATTAGTTTTCTCTTCACTTATTTCTAATATGTTATTTGATCTGTCCATTGTAATTTTTATTTCATGGTTATTTTTGATTTCTAGGAATACTATTTGGTTCTTTTCCAGATCTGTATATCGTTTTTTTCACAGTGTCTTCTTTTATTTGGATTTCCTAATTTTTAAAATATTTTTGCTTATTTTAAATATACCTACAACTTTTTTTAAGATTGCTGTTCCGTTTTGTGAAGTTTTAATCCTCCTGATTATTTTGTGTCTACTGACTCTTACTGTTGAGTATTTCCTGCTGTGTGTTGTAATTTTTAAAAATATAATTCAACTTTCTTGTGGCTTATTTTCTCTGTGGCGTAGCCTTGATTTTCCAGAGCAGTTTTGTACTTGTTTTTGCTTGTATTCAGGGATATCACCAGCATGGAGCCTATTTTCACATTAATTTCTTAGCTCAAGAGTCCTAAACCCTGTGGCAACTTAACTTTGAATCCTAAAGTATAAGACATTAGCCTTGTTTTACATTCCTGTGGGGTAATTTTTTACTTTATGTAACCTGGAGCCTAGGCAGAGGCTGACAAGTTTCCTTGTTTCCCGTTCTCATGAGCAGATTTTTTCTCTACTTCATACTTTCACTTTGAGTTAGAAAACAGTTCCATCAATGGTCCCTGCTTTATGCAGACATCAATGTTCCCACTTGTCTTCTCATGGAGGGCCTTTTCTAGTCTAACTTAGCAGGAACCTCTCCCTCTCTCCTCCCCTAGAACAGCCACATTATCAGCTCTCCTTCCTACTTCTGTGACTTTCGGTCTTTTCTGTTTCTAGTACCTGTTCTCTTGCAAGCTTAGCTACACATGTTAAGGGGGAAAATATTATTTTATCCAGAATTTCAAGGAGTTTATAATGGGAGACTTTTCCACATTTTCTAAGCTTGCATTCTTGCCAGGTCTGGAAATTGTTTCATAATGTCTTGACTTCTTAATCAAGGACTTAGACCAGAGTTGAGCTTTGTGGGGATACATGTTAGCAAACAGAAGTGTAGCCCCATTCTCAACTCCATGCTGCCCTCTTTAGCAGTTTTTGCAGAATAAAGCTGCTTCTAGGAGAGAAAGGGGTCTCCTTTCAGTTTGAAATTTTATTAAAGGTTACACAAGGGACTGTAGAAATTCTTGACCATAAGTTTTAGATTCCTAAATTAATACCTTCCTTTTATAGTTTCTTTGAAGCCATAGTTTCACTGGATCCAAATAGCAAGCATCATCCTGGAAAAAAACAAAATCCAAAACAATGAGCAAGCAACACCCGGGCAGGAATTACACAAATCCTGTAGCCAGATTCTCTCACAGAGCACTTTTCAGGAGCGTGAAGTGAGAACACTGTGGCCGTACTCTATCTAGGTATATTATTTCGGTTTCTGAAAGATCAGTATATTATGGCATATGGGAAAGCTTTAATAAAAAATCACTTTATAGTTGAGTTTTACTAATCCAGTTCAAGGCTTATATCATTTGTTCTCATCATCAGATTTTAGGGTTGTTGGCAGAGGGAAGATGAAACCTTTAAGTGAGTTGGTGGAAATGAAACTCAGAGAGCTTTTCTTCTGCCCAAAGATTCACGCAGCAATCCTGCCAGTTACATCCCTAAATTGTATCTGTCTTTCTTCTGCTCCATTTTGATCAAGATCAGATGTCAGCACTTTGAGCAGTTAAAAATGCAAAAGGCTATGAAAAGGTGGACATTTATTTTAGATTGGACAACAGTATTTGTCATGCCCAGAGTGTGACATAAGAAATGCACAGGTGCCATGAATAATGGGAAAAAAATCAAGCATCTGGTTCCTGCCCTTCCCAAAGCCATAGCCTGTTGTCTAGTAGAAATGGCCCTGGATCTGCAGTTAGAAGAGCCTGGAGTTCTCCTGGCTGTGCAGATGCAGGAGGTGTTGA